TACTGCAAAACATCAAAAAGCAACAACAGTACACTATTTACACCCACCTCAGTTCAATTTTTAAAATGTCTACCCTAGCAGTATTACATCACCATCTTTTCAAAGGATCTGTGTTGTACAGACTGTCTCAGCATTACCACAAGCTGCAACTTTCTTTCAGAATTAAAATTGCAGAAGAAAATATTTATCAGTTTGGCGACTATTTTGGACATGTTGGAGTACACTCTTAAACTGAGGGAAAATATTTATGAAAAAAAGACATGCAAAAATCTCAGAACAAACCAATTACTCAATAGTTTTAATTTTGCAATTAACATTTAATTTCTTAAAATTTTTAATTAACTTTGTAAAATACATCTGAACAATAAAATTAGAATACACGTCAGCCTAAGCAATAAAACCATGGCTGTAACTGTTTCATTACTGTCATCAGTTACTGTATGGTTTGATAATATTAGTAGTATTTTATAGAAACACATTCTAGAAATAGGGTACACAGATAAATACTATTAACCAGCAACAGTCTTTTGACTTTAAACCTAACTGCAGCCAACAGGTGATGTGACAACAGGTTACCTGATCTCAAAATCTTGATGGCTATTTCAGAAACACGTCAGGACAAATGTCTAAAACATTGCGTTTAAACATTATGACAATATCATTTCTCAACCTCCAATTTTCCTACAATAGTTTGACTATAGCTCCTCCAATTAAGATGCAAGCTAAACTGCAAGGAACGCAACTGGAGATCCTAACACTGATTTGGCTATTTGGTTTGTAGCTATAATTGTTTGGGAAGGTAAGGGTAATCTATTACTTAACCCTTGAGATAGATATTGTCAACACAGGACTAAAATGGTCCTAATCACCAAAAAAGGCAAAACAAAAGCACTGTAGTGTTGGCAAATGAAACCAAGTTTACAAATGGTTCCCAAGCAGGTCGGTAAAAAACCATATCAAACCCCTGGACATTTCTTCTTCACACTGTGGATGTAGCTACTCTCCTGCAGTAGCTCAAAAGGAGCAGCTCACCAGCATCTTCTCAAGGGAAACCGGGAACAGACAATACATGCTGGCCTAGCTGGCCGTGCCCACATCCACACAATTTTTTTTGAAAAGCAGACATGCCAACACTTCAAAGATTCCAAACTGTTGGTGTAATTTATGTTGGCTTTGGCACTTCAAACGGCTGCACAAAGCTGGATTCAAACTACCTCAAATAGAAAGTGTAAGATCCTGCATTGCATGGCAAATTACTCACTGCAGTTCATGGCTCACATGCTGGAAAACTGAATTGATGTCCTTTTTAAGAAAAGGTTGCCTATTTTCCTTCTCTGCTGACAAGAGTCAGGTGGACCACATTGGATAAAGTGAATGAGCAAAAAAGCTTTTGAAAATTAAAAAGCAGTTGATGGGACACAAGGAATCAATAAGCAGTGCAGTTTAAGGAGGAGTGAAAGTTATAGGATCTACGTGGCCTTTGTTTTTCCCAATTTACAAAGAATTTTCATTTAAACTTTTTAATAGCTGCTTTGGGATTACAAACTGGTCCTTAAAATCACAGCTACCTGGTTAATAACAGTACCAGATACTTTAATGTATAGGGAAACTTTACGAAGTCAAATAATACTGATTACTATTTCTGTTAAGTGGTTTAAAATTAAAATATCAAGTTCTGGTTTAAGACCTGTCAGAACGTTTCCATAATATGTAGAATAGCTAGTCAATTCCTCTATGTACAATAAACAAATACCAAAATCAAAATAATGCTGGACACTAGGAACATCATTATAATGGATCGAGTGGGGACTAGCAAGTACTTGGTCCCATGGAAGTGAGCTTCCTGTAGATCAACAGCAAGACAACATTGACAGAAGTCAAAAATGGTCAACACTGTGCACATCTCAACCACCAACACTTCACTCTAAGGATCTATAAAGTTATAACTCTGATGGCTGCCTGATGATCTAAATCAGTGCAGACATTCTCTAACTTCCCGTATTAGTTTCAGTCACTCCATCCATAAAGTGTTTTCATATTCAGTTCTTGACATAAGCGCAATCAAAACAAAAGGTGCATGGCACAAAACATTCACCTCCGCTGTGCTAACATTAGTGGCATTAGGCCACAAATTCATTAGGTTTTGGGGGAAGTGGAGTCAACACAGCTGCCAAGTATTATTAATACTTTTAATGATTGTTATCACCTTGTAGGAAGGGAGCAAGTAAAATGTAATCCATTAATAAAATAATCTATTTCCCACAAATCACCATACGAAGTGCTATGCCAATTTAAGGTGCCTATCTTGTAAATGGTTTAATTTCAAAAGTCAACTTATTGATGGCTAAACTCCACGCTTAGAGTGTATGTCTCTGCGTGTATTTGTGCGGTTGGGAGAGATGGTATTAGAGGTGTGTGTGTTTGGGGGGTGGTGGGGTTGGGCAGGTGAAGGGTACAGGATCTTTTAAAATTGCACTGAAGTCCGTACATTTACTTTCATTTTAACCATCTGGAGGTGAAGACGTATTCTGAACAGAAAAGCAAAATTACAGTAGCATTTAAAGTATCCAAGCCAAAAACTAATATTTCTCCGTCCCCAGAAAATAAACCAGATTCTCATCAGCGCCAGACTCCCTGTATTTCCAAGATTGCCAGAAATAGTACTTTTGTACTATTGTCCTGCAATACAAATGTTGAAATCTTTCATCTGGCCTCAATATAAATCCCACTTATTTGTAACAAGTTAACATGTTTTCAGTGACATTTCAAATGTAAATTCAAGCCTCTTTTTGTTGTCAACTGATTATGTCAGCCTTTTGTGCTATCAATTTTTACCAATTATATATAATTTTACAATACATGTATATATATAAAGTAAGATTACTCTATGTGGCTGCACACGTACTTTATAGTAAAATTGCATAAAGTAGGAAATTGACTCAAGACTACAGGGAATGCAAAACAAATGAACTGCCCAGCCAGTTCCTCAATCCAGGTCTCCAGCACACAGACACTAAGCGGAAAAGGAGATACAGCTGGTAACCAACATGTATTTCAGCATTGTGGTATAGTCTGCACAACCACTGCTACTGTACAAAGAATGATGAGCTGGACTTCAGATTTCCAAAGCCTTTAATCCACGCCCAGTGCAACATTCTACCAGCACCAACATTCAGTGGAGATGGCGTGGGATGCTAGGCAGATAAGCACTCCAAAGACATGTGGTTTCGGGGGTGCGGGATTGAAAGGAAGTTTTAAGGCCCAGGATTTCTAGGTACTGCAATGGGTGGATCCTCATCAAGTCAGGTAACACAAGGAACAGCAACAGACAGTAGAGGAGATTATCCCAGTAACTAGTACTGTTCCAGAGCAACTGTTGATTGTAATCAATTTCTTCAGCAGGATTCAACCCTAGCCTCAGTTCAAGATGGAACTTGTTTCTCCCCCTCCAAAACATCATCTTCACAAAATTTGTGAAGACACTTTACAATACAATTCAAATGCAGAAACTCAAATCGTGCAATTTAGTTCAAATACAGTAATCTAAGGTTTCCCATTCCATTCTCCATGCAGACTGTATCTACATTTGCATTACATTAAATATTTCCTGAAATATACAGCCTGAGGTGTTTTACACCAGTTCCAATATGCTACAAGAACACAGTAACCTTTCCCCACTGAACCTGTGCAGTAGACTCTCCCATGCTTTTAGTGGTCCCCTCAGCATTATTCGTGGATTCTAAAACATAGCAGTCTGCCGTACTCAGTCACAGACAGTGGAAAACACAAGGGTTGTCTCTGTGTGCATCGTTGGGAATAATCTGTAAAGCAGAGTCTTATGAGATGGAGCTGCTTGGGTTGAACTTCAACAAAATCCACTGCATCTCTCCCAGGCATTTGCACAAATGCAGAGGAAAACCGGTAATGGACTCCTCCAAAACACACCCACCCTGAGTATGACATGCAGGGTGCTAAGATATGAATGTGCAGCAAGGATCCAGAGGTGGAGATATCTGAGCATCTGTTACAACTAAAGTGGGGCCACTGTTGAGAGGCTCCAGTCATCATGCACAGAGTAGCACAGTGTCAGTGCCAGGTAGAGAAGACAGGGACAGGAGGGTTGAGGGTGGGGGCAAGAAGACATATCTAAGACATATCTACCTTCTGTCTCCCCCTGCTGACTATCCCTCTCGGGAGGTTGGGGAGAGGTGAAAGAAGATTGAAGGGAGGGGGGTGGGATAGGAGGTTGGGAGATAAAGAGGGGGTGGGAGGTTGGGGAGGGGTGTGGTGTAGAGGAGGGAAGTAGAGGGGTTTAGAAGTTGGGATGGTAGTAATGAGAGGGGGGTTTAAGAGAGGTGGGTTTTGCGAGGGGGTCGGGGGGTGGGGGGAGGTTGTTCAGGGTTGTTGCCTCCTGACCCCCCGGGCACGGTTCCCGCCTGGCGAAAGAGTCCACTCCGTAGACACACCCCGGGTTTTAATTTCCTCTTTAAGCGGCTGAATCCATGAACCCACCTGAGCCTGGAGGCTCCGGCTGTGAAAACCTCACTATTCACTGGCATCACCTCCACCCCTCCCCGAAAAAAAATCAAAACAAAAAAAAGTTTGTCAATTTTAACAATGTAACAGCCGCCTGTTAAAATGTGGCGACTGGTAGCAACACTGTTTCTTCTTAATCCATTTAATCTGAAGGCAGAAAGCTGCTGGATCCAGCTTTCTAGGGGAAATACTTCAAATAACAACAATGTACTTTATTTTAATCTCTTTGCACTGATCCGCTTTACCTCTCAACGCGTGTTTTTTTTTACGCATTTCTGCTCAAAAGCCTTCGGGGCCTGAGGGCACCACGTTCCGTTACAGCACAATTTCCACCCAATTTTAACCAACGCGCTGTCGGGGGAACTTGATGCCAAGAAAGGAATCTCCATCAGAGACAGAGAGGGAGAGAGAGAGAGAGAAAGGGGTGGGGGGAAATAAAAAAAAAAGAGGCAGACAGTTCTTACATGGCTGCAATGTAGGGGAGTCCAGCTGCCACCGTTAAATCTAAAGGCTTGCGGCGTTTCTTGCGTTCAGACAGCAGCTTAAAGCAGGACACATTCGGGTTGGTAACATGTCCCAGTTCACACAGGAAAAGGGGAGAGCGAGCCAGAAGTCCCCGACTCACTGCACACAGGTCTGCTTCCTCCGTTCTCCCTTTTCTTTTGCTCCCTCCCTCTCTCTCTCCACTGGCGAGCCGGAGCCACCAGTTGGTGCTCAGAGCTGACAGAGGGGGAGGAGCATCAAGACGCTGAAAAAGCACCAAACCTCCCTCCCTGCCGTCGCTGCCTCAGTGTGGGATTTCCACTTCGCCCGGGGAGACTGCAGGTTACCATCCACAACAACACCCCCACCCCCACCCCCGGGGGCAAATCCAGGCTACACCCGTTCCATGCGGGGCTTGTAAACACCCAAGTCCATATCACACAGTGCATTTCGTGAACGGTAAGCAACCGCACAATGAACAGTCACTGTAACAAAAAAAAATGCTGCACCAAAAATACTGCCTTGCCCATATTACTGAGGTTTACGAATTGTAACAGCTGATTATACGCTTCATCCCAAACATAATTTATACTTACTCCCAGCACTTAAAACTTGCGAAATTCATAGTTTTTATTGTGAAAGTTACACAAGTATTTACAACTGGGAATGCTGACTGTTATCTTAAAGGGATTGATTGGGAGGACGTTATGGTACAGTTGCATGGGACCTCAGTTTAGACCCCATTTTGAGCAGTGGGTCCGTTTCTGAGCACGGCCCCTTCAGATATACACTGACATGATCCTGGAACCAAAAGGATTAGATTCTGAGAGCAGGTTGAATAGACGAGGTTTGTATGCGTTTGACTGTAGAAGCTTAAAGGGTGATCTAATTGAGGTGTTTCACATGACCAAAGAGTAGGTAAAGATTTCCTGTGGCGAAGAGAATCTAGAACAAGGGCACAGAACATCAGTGCTTGACTGTTCAAATGTGATGTCAGGAAACAATTTTCAAACCAACGGTGGTGAAAATCCGGAACTCTGACAAAAAGCTATTCAGCCTGTATTAATTAAAAATTTCCACTGAAGTTTATGCATTTTTATTGAACAAGTGTAATGATAACAGAACTAATAAGAAATAGTTGCATTTATTTAGTTCTCCTGATGTAATAAAACATCACCTGTTTCTTCATGGGAGCTTTATAAATAGAACTTGACCGTGATTGACATTAAAACTTGTCTCCTTGACCACATTAAAGTGTATCATAAATAAGCAAAGGGAGATAAAGAAGCAGAGAGATTTAGTGCGGAATTCCACATTTTCAGCTGAAGATACATCTGCCAATGGTGGAATAATAAAGTCAGGAATGTTCAGGAGGAGGTCAGAATTGCAGAAGGGCAGATAGCTGAGAGGTTTTGTGGGGCTGGAGAGACTACTGGCCAGAGAAAGTGAGGGGTGAGGCCACCAAGCTATTTAAAATATGGATGAGAACTTTCGAAGCAAGGCATTGTTAAACCAGGAGCCAACATGAACTTTGGGGAGATAGTAGGAACTGCAGATGCTGGAGAATCCGAGACAACAAGGTGCAGGGCTGGATGAACACAGCAGGCCAAGCAGCATCATAGGAGCAGAGAGGCTGACGTTTCGGGCCTAGACCCTTCATCAGAAAAGAACTTTGGGGAGATGGGTGAGCAGGACTTGTGTGTGTTAAGATGCAGCAACAGAATTTTGGATGACCTGAAGTTTATGGAGGGTAGAAGGTGGGAGGCCAGCCAAAAGTGTGTTAGGATAATTAAGTCTAGAAGGAACAAAGGCATGAACAAAGGTTTCAGCACAGATGAGCAGAGATAATCAAGGTGAGTAGATGAAGTTAGAATACAGATCAGTCTACAATTTGAGGAACAGATTTGGCCAGTTAAATGGCCTCCCACTTAATTTGTTATACAAAGTACTGAGTTCTCTGGAGTAGAGAGTACTCACGTAGAATTACAAGTGTCTCTCTCGAATAAATAGTGTTGAATCACCCTTACAAAAATTTTCCCAAATATTTCATTTACCAGTTTCTTTGGGTTGAGTGCTGTGGACCATTCCCTCAAGCAACCCTCCTTTGGTACAGTCTGGAATGTGCTCCTACTCCTGTAACATTTAGGTAAATTTAGCTATCCCAAACTCATAACAGAAACCTTCAGGCACAATTCCAGTTCACTGGAAATAAAACAGGCTTCTCAGGTGACTTCCTCAACAGAGTCTGATGGAAGAATAAACCTCCCACAGGTAAAAAGTTAAATTGCAATGGTTAATGAATAATTAAGACCATAACATTTAACCATAAGCTATAGTTTTCAAAAGCCTGACCATGCGATGCTATCAAAAAAAACACACCAAGCACAGATTTTCTGTATTAACATAAAGTTGACTTGTGAATCAGGATTGTGTTGTCTTATATGATACTCATTACCATGGAATCTCTGAACTGTATTATCAGTGTTTTCTTCAGCATTGTAACTGGCTAGATGCAGTCCAGCCCAAGACAAAGTTCCAAATTAATTTGAAGCTATTCTGAATCAAAGGGAATTAAAGCATGCATTTGTCCACCTCACGCAGAATTGATAATCAAATATACACGATGAGAAAATATTGTCATCCTATTCAAATGGGAATTTATAAGCATCTCTTTAAGCTTAAGAATTTTATTTACAGGATATTCATAATTGTCAGTGTGTACTCAGTACAAAAATATTATTCCAGTCACTTGAAGATTAGCTGTTATTACTGTCCAACCCCTTTGCCAAATTCCCATCCTCCTCAGGAAACACTGACCCAATCAATTTCAACAAAGACCATTTTAGATATAAACATTTGACAAAAGCATTTTCTGGCAGATTTTCTTTCCTGTTCTTTTAAAATTCACTTTGATATTAATAGCTTCCACAGTAAATTCCCTAAATTACATAATAACACACCTGTGTCAATATCTTTTCTACTTTTTAAAATAATAAACCTCTGAGTTGCCCTGGTGTCATCAACCAAATCTAAGTAAAAAGTGCTCCATTCTCAGAATCAAAGCTAATAACCCAGATTGAACAAAAGGTAAATGAAAATATAAAATATGTCCATTAAGAAAGACAGTCTTCAATCCTGGTAGTGCCCCTGGTCATGAAAGGTCCCCAAGCACACTGGGAAATACCAACATGGCTCATGGGCTCATTATCATATTTAATAAAATTCCAACAGGTATTTTTGAGTAGGCTCCCGCACACCTTTTTGCATCAGATAAAGCCAAAAGTGTGGGGTTTGGGAATTTGATTCAGATAATAGATATTTCAGACATTAAGCTCCCTCCCCTCTGCCACCTAATCCAAATCCACCCTTTAAAATCAGATTAAAATTCAGTCCTAGTAGTTACCTGGTTCAATTTCCAGTAAGTTTCAATGCAGTTAATGTTACCTGAAAAAATAATTCCTTTGGTAATTCACTGCTTGTATTGACATTCCATAAATACACAGCTCTTCCTGAAAGAAAGTTACATACACAGTACCCACATAAAGGGAGCTTCAGTTTCGCATTACATACTTCTGATACCTGGTGCAATCTCTGTGTTATTATCTCAGAGAACCATATCCCAAGAGAGATAAAGATCAATGTTTTGTCTGCACTATTTCTAAGTCAGGCCTGTCCATTTAAAGGTTATCTGTATTAAGTATTCATTTGTAGTAGCCATAAAGTTGACTTAGGAATGCATCGATTGTAAAGTTTGATGTAGTCAGAGGTCACAGATGGTCAAAAGTCGAGACTGATTTCCATTAAGTGAGTAAAGCTTTCCTGATGGCTCTGTAAGTTTATCCTTGTAAGGAAAGTCCTAGATTCAATTGCCAATCTGTACACAACTCAGCATGTTGAAGTAAACATCAGCATTGTGTGTTAGGGAAGAACAGTCAGAGTGTCAGGTTTTTATTACTTGCTAGCCATTGAGCCCTGTTGGACATGTACCTATGGGCAAATGCAATCATGATTGGGTTCAAATGTTTTGACTATGCAGCCACCAAATCTGTATTTGGTGACCCCAGAGAAAGATCATAAGACAATAAGAAAGAGGAGCAGAAGTAGGCTATTCAGTCCACTGCATCTGTTCCGCTGTTCAATGAGATCATGGCTGAACTAATAATCCACAACTCAATTTCCTGCTTTAATCCCATAACCCTTGGCTCCCTTACTGATTGAATATACTTAATGCTTCAGCCTTGAAAGCCCTGTATAGTAAAATATTCCATAGTTTCACTATGCTCAGAGAAGAAATTCCTCCTCAATAGCTGCCTCATTCTGAGGTTATGTTTCGTGGTCCTAGAATCTCCAACAAGGGAAAACAACTTCTCTGCGTATACCTTGTGAAGTCCGCTAAAATTGTATGTGTTTCAATAGGTTGCTCCTCATTTCTCTAAACTCCTGTGAGTATAAGCCCAACCCATTCAACCTCTCCTCATAAGAAAATCTATCTGCTTGAATGGACCCAGAGAACCTTCTCTGGACTACCTCCAATTCCAGTATATCTTTCCTTAGATAGGGGAAACAAAACTGTTCACAGTATTCCAGGTGAGGTCTAGTGCCTTCTATAGTTTCAATAAAACTTCCCTATTTTCATACTCTATTCCCTTTGAAATAAGGGCTAGCATTCTCACACACATTCCATTCTGGGGTGGCACGGTGGCTCAGTGGTTAGCACTGCTGCCTCACAGCGCCAGGGACCCGGGTTCAATTTCACCCTCGGGCAACTGTCTGCGTGGAGTTTGCACATTCTCCCGTGTCTGCGTGGGTTTCCTCCAGGTGCTCCGGTTTCCTCTCTCAGTCCAAAGATGTGCAGGTTAGGTGGATTGGCCATGCTAAAAATTGCCACTAGTATTCAGGGATGTGTAGATTAGGTGAAAACCAAAAGAACTGTGGATGCTGTAAATCGGGAACAAAAACAAAGCTGCTGG